TTTAGATCCAATGGTTGATTTTTTGCCACATACAATAATTTTTGTTACTTTCTTGAATTTTTTTTTTTGGTTATCTAACAAATTAGTCCTATAATTAAACACATGCAAAAAGAGCACATTTTCCAATTTTTTTTAAATTGAATATAAAAAAATCAAACAAAAATACGTGTTTACAACAATTGCGTTAGATTAGTTTGCGAAAAAGAAAAAAAGTTGGTGAGATCATCTCAAGACAAAACAATGCTTCCATTCCTCCATTTCTCGAATAGTTGATAATATGTTTTGGATTTGCTTATTAAAATTTTGGGTTAGTTGCGAAGACATCATCGAGACCTCCCCATGCCGCTGATTATTGAGTTATCTCCATATGATGTGGAGAACGTTTTGGAACACGCATCGCATGAGAACATCTAGAAATATTATTGGATCGGCGTACAACAAGTGATATTGAAAAATAAGTATTTTGTTGGAGCAAAGCATGCAGCCATATGTTTCATCTTGTAATATGCGCTCATTTAGGCAAGGCACTACCCTTTACAGTTCAATTCTCTTTTTTTTTACCTTTTTCTTTTACAGCAACATATGTTCCACGAGAAATGGCAAGAGTGAGTGTCAGCTAGACAAGGCACTCACTCTTAATCAGTGAAAAAGTAATGTAGCGATAATTCAAAGATCTCAACTACTTCATGATAGTGCTAACTAGGTCGGGTAATATAAGACCCGTTTATTAGCAGAATATGTAAAGAATATCTTTATGTAAATGATAGGAAACTAATTACAAAAGATGCGTAAAGATATTCTTTACATATTCTGCTAATACCGTTGAGGCTATAGCCAGGTTCATGAGTTTGACAGAAAAGGACTAGAGAATAGTGTCACGTAACTAAAATCTGGATGCGCCATGATACGACATAATAGTCTTCTGGAATCTTGTAGTTTATGTCTGATTTGGATTTAAGAGACCGGTTTGATATCTATACTATCGTTCTGAAAGAACATTATAAAGGAATTTGTTTTTGCTCGTTGAAATAATTAAGATTTCCATAAATTTAACTTTTGACTTTGTGAGGGTTATATATCGTTCGTTTTGAAATGTTTAAATTGTTAAATGCAAGTTTAATAAATGAATAAAAAGGATTAATTTCCAAATGCCAAAAACAAATTAAATTTTTTGAGAAGGTGTGTAGGAATTTTAACATAAAAAAAAGAAGTTGTGTAGGAAAATCAAAGGATAGGTGAATCAATAGAGTTTGTGGAAGAACACGCAAAAAGCAGTGATGCATTCTATATTGGGCATAGGTAGTGGATCTCCATTTTTCTTTCATTTTAAAACTAAGTCAATTGTCATGGCTTCTCCAAAAATAACGCACGTCCACATTTGCTGAGAAAAACATGAATATTGAATCTATCGTCCTTTCTCTCCATCTATCGATGATCAGTACGGTTTGGTTAGGGTCAAATCTTGATTTGAGAGAATAGTTTGCATGGTTAGGTATTTTCCCAGCAATGACCGGAGTGGCCTACCAGCCCATTTCGGGTTCTGGCCGGGGAACCCAACCGCCGTCGGAGAAGTCAGCACTCGTGTTTTCTCGGCTAGACTTCCGGTTGTTTGCCGGCAGCTCCACAATAAGCAGCCGTTCGGAATGTTTAAGGGCGAAAATGCGATGAACTACGCATTTTCGACCTTTTTGCTTGAAGCAATTATCATAATTTTCTTCATTAAATCCGTTTGCTTCCTTCTCCGGCCTCTTCGCCAACCTCTTGTCGTCTGCGAGATCATTGTTAGTCATTGATCTTATACTCCTTTGTTATATAGACT